ATTACGAACATGAAGCTGTGAATTTTTCGATAATTTCTTGGGCAACAGGGCTTGTGCGGAGTACACTGGAAGTGGAACGCTCGTGGCGCAGTTTGTCTTGGTGGGGGTATTTTTCTGGATCCCATAAATCACTGCCGATGCCTCCTGTGGAGAACCTAGAAGTTCCTGTAAAGCTATGCATAGCAGGGCTTACACCTGAGTCAGGATAGTTACACGTTTCACCAAGGTGTTTCTCGTAGTTCAACAGGAACTAGCAAGAGAAACTAGCGAAGGTGGAAGTGTCCCTCCTAAGCCGGACAGCGCTCAGTTCGCATCTTGAGAACTCTTCTTGAGGAACCTCTTTCTCTCCTACTTTACTTTTACTCCATAACGGCCGCTAGCCCAAAGAAACCTGTTTCTTTCATTTCTTCCATATTCCTCAATGGGAACAAATGCCTAGTAGCGCATTTTACGACTCGTTATCCCTAAACGGCACAATTCCTAGACCGCGCCAGTAATTAGACGATAGCCAAAAATCCTCTCACCATTACATATCCGGTCCTCGACGGATGAGTTTCGTGTTTCTGTCATCACGCCATATGTTAGGTGTCGCATGGCAGTTGCACATTACAGAGAAGGAAACCGCTCAATGTGGCATGAGCACATCTGCTGGGATCGCTGGGGATTCCTAGGGATCTATATCTCGGGATTATGAAAGTGAGAGACGTTGTTGAATGAAGCCTGTGAACCCCATGGAATGCGCCATTTTTTATTCAAGTTCGAAATCCGGAGCGCCATTGTATGGTCAATCGCTCTATGCAACATTTTGGCAAGAAAAACTTCATTTTACTCAAGGCATTCGCTGTATTCTTGACAGCCCTGCTCCTAATAGCTCGCCTTGGAAAGACAGAATTCTAGTCGCATAGGTAGATATCTTCTGGTCCATCTGACCAGACGCGAAAAACGAGAAAAAATCGCGAAAAAATCGCGAAAAAATCGCGAAAAAACCGGCATGGAGTCCCCTTAGGGACGAGTTTTTTTGCTCAAAAGGGCATAATGACGCCCTTCGAGCAAAAATAGCAAAAATGCACTGCTTTGTCGGCAAAAGGTGCGAAAAGCAAAAAGCGGCCATTTTCGGGAAGTGCCGAGTTGGGAACGTTCTAGCAAAGAAGTAACAGTAGATTCTAGCCACCAGTCACGTTCTGCTCAGGATGCGGCTATAAAGTGGTCAGATGGAGTTATTCTCATGGATGCGAATATTGTGTGGATACCCTCTGCAACGCTTTTGAAGGTGCTAGCGCAGCTGGTGCAGTCGCTGGCTTGGGAGGGCGGGGGGGGGACACAAGCGGTAGGTTCCCCTTGTGAAGACCTGTAGATTCTCGAAACTAAAGTGGCTCACTTGTACTATTACGCAGTTTCACAAGCGTTTACAGGATCTACTGGCATCACAAAATGAGACCTATTAAGTAAATGAACTAGCAAGGGGAACTAATCAAAGTACAAAATCGTCCTCCTCCTCCGAAGCCGAGCAGCGCCCACAACTCTTTATTCTGTTCTCATTTCTTCGTCCTTGTGGAACATTTCCTATAATAGTAACCATGACATTTCAGATCATGGAAAGTCGAAGATCTCCTCCGATCTGAGGTACGACTTCTGGAGCGGACTTCACTGATGAAAATGGAGGTGATTCGAGACGAGAGCTGTGCCCGTGAACCCTGCCCATACTATCAGAAATGTCGTCAGACGCTGAAACACGTCAACGCCTTTGATGTAAGTGCTTGCTATAACCAGTTATTGAGAGCTATCGCGCTAAGCCTAGTTTGAATTTCAGGTTTATCAGACGGACAGCTTTATGGCGAGAACGTTGAAAACGTTGAAGACATTCGTATGTGAATGTCCCGTTGGATTTGCCAGTAAGTTTGACTTCTACCATTTCAACTTTACTTATTTTATTCTCCACATGGGGCGCGTGGACCAACGCCCCGTCAGGGCACGTTTGCGCTGCGTTTATACTTTGCGGCAGCGTAGCGTAGCGCTTCCAGCGTACGCCAGCGGCAGTGCCGGGAGAGGATGCATATCG